ACAGAGGCGTAGTGACAAGGAATAAAATGTGCGAGTTCCATTCACACCTGCTACACAGGGTCTAAGCCACACCCAATTAGAGAAGCTAAATTGCGCATGCGTTTTTGGATGTCTCTACAGGTTTCCCATTCAGGTTTCACACGTTCGCTCTGATTAGTTGACGCTTATCCCAAGTCAGTATAAAGTTGAAAACTTCGAACTTTATGCCATGAGCTCTAAACCAGATTTTGTAACGTAGCGCAGACTGGTCGCCTGGCAACACAGTTCGTCTTAAAACTACTTATGCCTCTATACCATGGCTTGAATGCAGCTTCAATGTCAAGTTTGAAAATCACTGAATATAGACACAAATCTTTGTTTATATTAAAAGCCATCTTTAAATTCATTGGTTAGGTCTGGCTATCTGTTCCACAGTGTTCTAATTTTTTTGGAAACCTGCTTGTCTAGCTGCTGTAAAAATCAGTCATATGTCCTCAGATAAAAATCTGCTGTGGATATCACATAACTTCCTTCTACGGCCTATATTAAGTTATACACATAAGTTTTAAACTTATTTCCTGATATTATTCTGACTTAATTAACCAATCTCTCTAGACAAATCGAAAATGACTTCAAAAATTTTGAAATTAAAATGCAGGTCAGTTTTAGTCATCGAGAATCAAACATAATTGTATTTTCACTTTTTCGTAACAAGTATTGAAACTTTTCCAAGTATAATGATCAGGGAGTCCACATTAAAAGCTAGATGTCATTATTTGCCCAAAATCTTTTTTACTTCCTTGTACGAAGTAAAAAGGAAGTATTGTAATCGCCAAAAGTTTCAGACAGCATATTTCAGCGAAAATACCCATTTTGACCTTTATCGAATGCAATTTAACGATGTTTTTGCGTGATATCTGTACGTAAGGACAGAATAAAACACTCTTTTCCTTCAAAAAAATTATAAAACTGCTTTAAAATTAATTCTGAAGAGAATTTTTCATGGCGTCTGTACGAACGTATGCACGTACGTGCGTATCTCGCATAACTCAAAAACAAGTAGCCTCAGAACGTTGAAATTTTGTATATAGCACTGCTATAACATGTAGACGTGCACCTCGTATTTTGGTTGCAATTGGCCCAACCAAACGTATATAAATATATTTATATATATATCCACTCTGTTACCGGCTCAGTGATCTCAGTTTCTTTACTCTTATTTGTTTGTAAATTGTACATTTTTTGCCTTAAAAATGATTGTATTATGTTGTTTTTATCTTCGGGTTAAGGTTTTTATGCCTTTAGTAAATCTGTCTGCACTATTTTTAGAATTATCAACAATTTTAAAGTTGTCTAAGTGCCACTAAGCCTTTTTTTATGATGGCCATTGAAGTTTACATTTGAAACAAGAGACTAGTGGATTTGTTGCCAATCTAGAGAAACTTAGCTTCGCAATAACAAAGATAACGCATTCATTTATTATTGCCAGTTAAATCATGCTTAATTCTTTCTTTAATTTTTTTGAGGAAATAAGTGTTTAAGATTTACTTCGTTATTTTTAATATAGATATTTTGAGTTTTTATGTATTTTTGCCTTCTCGCGAAGGGAGAACTGAATTAATTAAATGAGAAATACTCAATCGTCTGTGAAAAGCTGTTTTTTTGTTTTGTTTGCTTTATTTTTTTATACATCATTCTAGCTTTATTATACTATTTGAATAGAACATGTGGCAACGATTAGATAATTCTATTCTTTAAATGATGTAAATTTTGTGCATTATGAGTTATAATATGAACAAAATATATAAGTTTACTGTTATATAACAGTTCCGTTATATAATTACTATATGAGTTAACTGTTATACAGTCAAAAGTCTTTAATTCGGACGTCCATAATCCGGACTTCAAAGCTACAAACTTTCTGCGCATAAGTAAACGCATAATACCTTTACACATGTGCGTTTAATGTATAACGGATGATATAAGCTAAGCTAAAATTATCTAATTATCTATTTCAGTTAATGTTGCAGATTGAATTTTTCCTTAATCTTCTAATTGGATCTGGTTTATTATGTTTTGAATACTCTTAGAGAAATTTTATAAAAGTAAGCTTGAACTTTCGATTATGTCAAAAAGAGTTTCCAATTCTGGAGCTGGCAAAGGATCTAAAAGGATGTGCGATGTCCATCAAACAAAAAGTGGAATTGCTGCAAAAAATGAATAAAGGCATATCCTTTGTTTCTCTAAACGTTCCGAAATCTTTTTATCAATTTCACGCTGCTCTGCGGGGGGAGGGGAACGTCGCGGCGCACAATGAACTGGAAATTGATCTGTCAGCACTATCCTTGTCTTCAGGGCAGATGTTTTTATTTTATTTGGCTTATAATTCCTTACTAAATATAGTATTTCATCTCGATGTACTCCGTCTTTGATATGATTTAAATCAAATTCATCGTCATTATAAATATCACGAATAAACATCAAATAGTTTTCTGGTTGCAATTTTCTAATTTTGACTATGCGTAATGTATGCTTTACGCATGTGCACGTGTTGAAAGAAATGTTTAATAAAGTAAACAAATAAATATTAAGCTTTTTTTTGTAAGTTTTGATACCTTTTAGATCATAACTGCTCTTTATTTCATAAATTACTGTTTCATATTTCTAATTTTATAATTTCTGCATGCCATCTTACCAGATTAACTGATGATCTATAATCCGGAATCGCCGAAGTCACGACGAGTCCAGATTAAAGACTTTTGACTGTATAATTATTAATACTGTTAAGTGAATCTAGCACCAGAGTGTCGCTGTGGTAAATAAATACTAGAGTGAATTTTAAAGAATGCATTTATTCTATTGTGCTTTATGCGCTGTCGGCGAAGTAGATTTAATTCAATCCAATAAGTTTAAATGAAATGCAAGAAAAAAATGCATATAATTTAATATTCTGTACAAGGAATTCGTGGTGTACACATCAGATTTTTTTAATTTGACCGTACCAAAACTTAATATTTTTATCATTTAAAACATTTTGTCATTTAATTACAAGTGAGTGCATGACTATGGCCAGTCATTGCAAAAAGAAGGACTGGGTAAGGGCTGGTTTTATATATAAAGTTACAGTACTTCCATGTATAATTTTTTTTTAGTTATGAGAGATTAATATGTACAGGCATTGTAAAAAAAAAAAATCTGTTGAAACCACTTTACGATTCATTTTGGAATATGAGTCTTTTATTCTATCCTTACATAAAGACACCATGAAAAAAAAATAGTCAAAATGTATTCGGGAACAGTCCAAATGGATATTTCCGTTGAAACCTGTTAACCAAAATTTTTCTTGAATACAATACTTCCTTTACTCCGCACAAAGAAGTAAAAGGGAGTTTGTTAACCATCATTCATTCTATTAGTTTACACAAAGTACTACTGAGATAGGGGTGTGAATAACTTGTGAATGCATTAGGATGTTTAGCATTCCTGAAAATTAGCTTATGGTTGTTTGTCCAAGTTAATGATTTATAGTAATATCTCCATTGACTTTTCACAAATTTCAGCAGGAAACCAGATACAGTCAAAAGTCTTTAATTCGTACTCATCGGGACTTCGGCGATTCCGTATTATAGATCATCAGTTTAAATCTGGTAAGATGGCATACAGAAATTATAAAATAAAAAATATGAAACCATAATTTATGAAATAAAGAGCAATTATGATCTAAAGGGTATCAAAATTTACAAAAAAAAAAAAAAAAAAAAAAAAGCTTAATATTTATTTGTTTACTTTATTAAATATTTCTTTCAATGCGTGCATGCGTAAAGCATACATTATGCATAGTCGAAATTAGAAAATTGCAATCAGAAAACTATTTGATGTGTAATTGATAAACAGATTTCGGAATGGTTAGAGAAACAAAGGATATGCCTTTATGCATTTTTTGCAGCAATTTCACTTCTTGTTTGATGGACATCGAAACATGCTTTTGCTTTGTAGATCCTTTGACAGCCTCAGAATCGGAAATTCTTTTTGACATAATCGAAAGTTCAAGCTTATTTTTATAAAATTGCTCCAACAGTCTGCAAAAAATAATAACCTGGATCCAATTAGAAGATTAAGGAACAGCGCAATCTGCAACGTTAACTGAAATGCCTTGGATAACTTTAGCCCAGCGTTTATGCATGCACACAAAGTTTGTAGCTTTGAGGTCCGAATTATAGATCATTCCGGATTAAAGACTTTTGACTGCATAATTTTATCAAATTCAGGGCTCTTATCTACAGGGAAAACCCTGAGACTACTCAGGAATAAAAATTTCTATATGGCAAAAGAATTAAAAATATTATCCATTTCAGAGATTAAACAAGTCTGTCGACGTCTTATTTAATTTTTTTACATACCTTACAGATATTATGGAAATGCTGATTAACTTCAACATTATTAAGCACTTCTTTGTTAAAGAAGCTGTCGTAGTTACATGTCAGAATTGGTGAACTTAATTACCCAATCAGTCTAATTTTAGGTTTCCCCCCCCCTCACCTGTTACTTTCCTGAAATCTAAATATGTTGCTTGATGCAGCTGCATCATTTTCAGTAACTCTAGCCCTGCCTCCAGTTTAACATGCAATCTTCAGATATCACCTTCCTCAGAATCTTCAGATTCATGATACTATATGTAGTTGCAACGTTAACATGGAAGTACACATTATTTTACATAGAATTTGATGAAAATAAATTTCAGATTCAGCAGCTGAAATTTTTATGTCCACTATTAGCCAGTTTGATATCCGTTACATCCCTAATTGATGCCTGTGTTATTTGAAAAAAAACCATGCATATCTTTAAGTAGTTTTCTTTTTTTAAAGCAGTCTGCAAACAGTCATACTTATTATGCTAGTTTAAATAGTGCTTTATAAAAAAAATTCAATATTGAACTTTAAAATGTTTTTGTCTGTAGCTGGGGGTTTTGTTAATGTGATGAAATAAGTACTCTTTTTTTTTTTTTTTTTTTTTTTGTTTAGATAACTGGACCTGATGGAAAAGTTATTTACCAAGGTGAAAGAGAATCAAATGGCAAATATACATTTGCTGCTCATACAGATGGTGTCTATACATACTGTTTCAGTAATGCCATGTCTACTATGACTCCTAAAATAGTAATGTTTTCTATGGACATTGGCGAAGCTCCTAAGGGGCATGATGCTGAAGCTGAAGGTGTGTAATTTTATTCTGTAATTAATTTGTCTGGGATTTCCTGAAAATGTATCAAAATTTAGTAAAAAATATAAATTATGACCCTGTTCAAGTAGAAAGTAAAATGTATAAATTCCAAAAATGTCAAAAGATTTTTTTTTTCTGACATTTTAAATATAAAAATTAGAAACACTTTTTTAGTTTAATTAATGCTGCATATGGGATTGCTATATATCAAGGTACAATTTTTGAGACTGCATTCAGATATTGCGTAATGCTGACAATCTGGCGAAAAATTTGAAGCATAAAAATAATCTCCAAAATATTTATGATATGCTTAAGTTGAAGGAAAAAATAACATAACAGATATTCATAAAATTAGAAATTTTTAATGTATTGCTGAAAGAAATCGAGGCGAGAAAATTGTTACCAAATGAAGGTTAACATTGAGGCATGGAACTATGAATATCATTTAAAATGTCTGAAAATATTTACATTTTAGGATGCTACTGCCACAACATAGACCCATTTAAATAAAAATCTAATTTATTACAGTCAATGGTGTATTGAAGTTTATTTCCCCATTTAGCACTGCCTCATAACTTTTCAATAGTTTGTGTACGACAACCAATATTGGCTTCAATAGAATAACATTTGTGATTCATGCAAAAATGTTCAAATCCGGCATCTTTTCTTTAGTGTTATACCCTTTCCTACAGTGTGAGTATATTATAAAGCCGTCAATAAAATTTTCTTAATAACTTTAAGCAAAGCCCCAGCAGAGTGATTAGACAGAACAACTAAAAAACAAGAGCTTCTTTGTTGGAAAAGAAGAGTCTGAGAAGAGTCTTTCCACACTAACTTGAGCAGGAGGAAGAGCTGTTACTGTTAGGGCTACTTCTTTTAACTTTTCAAGATAGATTTTTATAAGTTCAAGAAGAGGTGTCTTGAAAGTGCAATCATATTTCTCTATTTCTTCAAAGGCCGTGTAGTTTGTGTAGTTGCCGTGTGTTGAATCTTGTTTGTATTTTTTCATTTTTATATCTAAAAGTACTTGGTTCTTTATTTTCATTCACTTTTCCTTAGTCTTTTTTATATTATCCAAAAATATTTCTCAAAATCTAATTCATCACTGGAAGAGGGTGATAGATTGCAGTGTCTGCAGTTTGACTGTCCTGATTCGAATTCTCCAGTTGTTCTGAGAATAATTTCATTCTTAATGAAAGTTCATAGATTGCTTTTTTTGCCTTTTTAATTTGTTCGTCATCCAAGAAAATTCGTTGTTTCGGATCTACATATATTGAATCCAGCAAGATCTCATTGTCTATCAAACTAGTTTCTATAGTTTTCTTTAAAAAAAGAAAACTACTTAAAAACTTTCTTTTCTTCATTGAAGAAATGATTCCTTCTGCAATAAACCCTCCATTTCAGAAAAAACAAACAAACATTAGGGTTATCTGCATCTTCTGAAAAAGTTCTTAATTCTAAAAACCTCTTTATCATCAAATATGTACTTTCTTATCACGTTAATTGATCAATAATTGCTCATTTTCCTGCTCGCTTCCTAAGAATGGCATCAGTTTTGGGAGTAATTGCTGCTGTTGCTGCTTAACTAAATTTACTAGTGAAATTTGTAACTAAATGAATCAGTTTAATCACTAATGGCAAATATCACATCCATCCTCCTCCCTTATATTTATTTATTAATATGTCAATAAAATAGAAAATAACTATTTATTAATGTATATAGTTCATAAATAAAAATAATAACTCAACTTGTCATTAATTTTTTTCAATTCATTTTAATTTCATTCCAAATTCAAACTGTCCCACAAAAACTCGAGTCGAAGTCGACCTGTTTTTAGCGACTCCAGCTCCGACTCCTTTTATCTTAAAATCTGAGCGACTCCGACTCCACAGTTCTGCTTTTTACGCATCAAGAAGATACAGAGGTGTATATGTCTTTCTTTATGTTCTGTTACAAATTTAATTTTATTCAGATTTACTATTCTGGAAGAAATGCAGTTGTAAATTTGTACTTGAATTGGCATTATACCTTCATTTTAACTTGAAAAAATAACCATGCTTGTTAATGTTTTCTTACAAGGAAAGCTATCAGACTTCCCAGCAACAGATACTGTAAAACTTTAAGGGATAATCACATAGGGGAAAAACATTATAGCATTTCTGAGGCCACTAATTAAACATGAAACAAAAAATTCATTTTGCAAACAAATTTTCTGCAGAGCAGTAGCAACATGTAATTACAAAAATCAAGAATTAAAAAACAAACAAAAAAAAGGCCAGAAGTTCATTAAAAATTAATTTTTAACTCATTAATTCTTGGTTAAAAAAGTGTTCTAAAAATTTTAGTCCAAAGGGGCCTTTGTCCCTGAAGGACTATTGTTTTTGTTTTGCAATTTTGCGTTGGTTCACTATAAATGTCCGTTTCACTTTTCAAACTGTTGTCATCAATGTTAGAGTCTTGCATTATATTTAAAGAAATTAAATAATGAAAAATCTGCATAAACGTATGTATATTTCCTGCATTGTGATAAAATAATGGTACATGCCACAAACAACTGCCATCGAATTTTGAATGACATAATCCTACTTGTGAATATGAACATCTGGAAGCCCAAATTTGAAATTTGGAATTTGTTTTATTATCGATTTCATATTTTGTAAAACTTTAACAAATTTTTGGTTAACAAATTCAAGAATTTCAAATTGATCAATAGCAATGTTCTACAGAAAAAGTATTTTTATCTCAAGCGCACAAGACTCTGTATTGGAAATTCTAAAGATATGCTAAAACTGTTCTGCAATATTGCTCTTGAACTAAATTTTATGGTTTAAGTGCGGAGAATGTGATATTTACCGTAATTTCCGGAAGAAACGCCGCAGCGTTTAAGTGTTTAAAACTTAAATTTTCAGTGGGTGCAGCATTTAGGTGCACTAAAAATAAAATATGGTCATTGTACATAGTTTGAATGGCCTTGTCATTGTACATAGACTGGGGCTGTTCCCACACAAAAGATCACTCAGTTGCTTTTTGCGAACGTTATTTTGTTTACATTCTTTCCCTTGAACAGACCTACATGCCTTATTCACCCTAAACGGGATCTCAGAATAATAACATTCTTCCCCCTTTCAAATCAGCATTCTCATCAGTTTGAATAGTCTCTCTCCTCTGCCATTCGATGAATCTTCTAGGACTCATCCTCTTCCCACCCTTGCCTTTTCTGCAATTTTTTTCAAAGGCGGACACGACTCCACCTGCCTCGCAATAACAAACTCTGAGGTGTTTTCCCTTCAGCATGAATAGATTTTTCTTGGCATTCTGCCAGATACAGATCCCATCAGTTTGAGTACAAGTACTTGTTGGATAGTTTTTAAGTAAGAAGGGAGCAAAAAATTTTTTAAAATGGCACCTAAACGGCACAGAAGCTATACTGCTGGTTTTAAGCTTAATGTAATTTCACGTGCTGAGCAAATTAGAAATAGAGCAGTAGCTCGAGAGTTTGAAGTGGACGAGATATGTATTCGACATTGGAGAACTGAAAATGAAGAACTTAAAAATATGCCACAACAGAAACGACCCAAAAGAAGTGGTACTATAAGGTGGCCGATTCTAGAGGACGACCTTGCAAACTGGATAAAGGAGCAACGAGGAAAGGGAATGGCAATTTTGACTGTAAAAATTCGCTTACAAGCAAAATTTATAGCAAAACAAGTGAACATAAATGATTTCAAAGGAGGGCCTTGCTGGTGTAGCAGATTTATGAAAAGAAAAAATATTTCTGTGCGTACTAGAACAACAGTTGAGCAACAATGACCAGTGGAGTGGCAGGATCAAAAAGGTTATCTTTTCTAAAATATGTGGCAGATATTATTGACAAAAAAAAAAAAAACTTCTTCGGTCACAGATAATAAATATGGATGAAATGCCATTAGCTTTCGACTCTCCTGCAAACAGAACTGTGATGAAACTGGTGCAAAAACTGTATCTGTGCTTACGACGGGGAATGAAAGAACGTCATTTACACGTGTGTTAGCTTGTGACGCAAACGGTGACAAGCTAAAGCCGATGATCATTTTTAAACGAAAAATTATTCTGAAGGGAGATTTTCCTAATGATGTAATTATTTGTGCAAACGAGAACGGCTGGATGTGCGAAACAATCATGCATGAGTGGCTACAAAAAGTTTGGCAGTGTCGTAAGGGATCTTTTTTCCAACCAAAAGGGTTATTGATAATGGATTCCATGCGTGCTCATTTACTTGAGTCAGTGAAAACCAAATGTCAAAAATTGTCTATGACCGTAGCAATAATTCCTGGTAGTTTGACAAAAATCTTACAACCATTAGATTTGTCATCATTCGGATTTCAAAGCTGAAGTCCGAAAAGTGGTGGGAGTGTCGGATGAGTGAAGGATTGCATACATATACCAAAAAGTGGTAAAATGCGTAGAGCATCTTATGAAGAAGTTGCAAAGTGGGTAGGAAGTGCATGGAAATCGGTAAAAACATCATCAATAATAGCAGGGTTCAAAGAAGCTGAATTTATATCATTAGATAAAGAGACTGTAAACCAAGAGGATGAATGTGACGATCTGGAAGACTTGGACTTAGATCAGGATTTACTAAATCTCTTTAATTCAGATAATTAAATCAAATTTTGATGGCTTCATATGATGTATAGGTTGCTGTAATTCCTTTTGTAAGTAAAGTTTAAAATTTCCTTTTGTCATCCAAATTTAATATTTCGTACTTGCTACATTTTTTATAATATAGTCTGAGTATTACAAATATGGACTTTCTAGTGGGTAAATATAAGTACATTCGTGAACATAAATATATTTTGAACATTTCTTACCTTTAATTTATTTCTGAGTTATGGTTTCATTTCATGCATTTTTCTTAACTGATATGTCATATATCAGGACACATGTTGAGATTTTGAATCTATACGCCCCACGACGGTGTCACGCGCAATTTAATCTATTGTGGCGTTTCTGTGCAATTTTTATTTTTCCCCCGCCATTTTTCCATTTTACGCTGATGCGGCCTTTTTTCTGGAAATTACGGTAATAAATAAAGGTAACAGAAAAAATGTTAAGAAAATGCCCCTTTGGACATAATTTAAAATCTGAAATCTTTAAAATTGTTTAGTCCAAAGGGGCTTTGTCCCTGAAGGACTATTGTTTCAGTAATAAATTTAAAAAAACAATCATGGGGAATTGTGGTCCACTCCCTGAGAAAGAACCACAGCTTTACTCAATCCTTCCACTTTTCATTGGATGATAATCAATTCATATGCATAACTGTTAATTTTTAATACATTAATTTGCATTTTTGATATTTTAATTAAATAAAAAATATTAATGAATGTTTTTTAGATTAAATGGCCTTCCCCCCTCCTTTTAACTTTAGATATTTATATTTTGATTTTATTTCAGCTCACCAGAATAAACTTGAAGAAATGATTAAAGAATTATCTACATCTCTGACTTCAGTAAAACATGAACAGGAATATATGGCTGTCAGGGATAGAATCCATAGGGCTAGTAAGTACACAAGGCTAGTACTTTTGCACTTACATAACCAATTAATAACTATTTGTATTTAGGTTATATGAAAATAAAATAACAGCTAGTTTGGAAATAATTTAGAACATGTAGTATCTCTGTGTGCTAGTTTATGTAATTTGTTATCTTAGTAATGAATGTAATGTGCAAACTGCTACTTATCGTCAGATATTTTTGGATGGTTGCTCTAAAATTAGTTGTTCTTTTGTACTTTTTTCCCCTGCCATTTTATAGCATGCTCAAATTTAAAAATAACATTTTAGTTCTATCTAAGAATATGTGCAAAAAGAAATAACTAAAAGTGGTAGATCTCAATACTGCATTAAGAAGATATAAAACTTGATACAAAGTTTGCCCATAGTTTGTTAAAATTCATAGAATAGTTTATAACATTAAATATTAGGTGTATTCACTTATTTATTTTATTTTACTTTAGAAAAAAATTTTGTATTGCATTATCGTTTATATTACAGTGCAAAATCCAGAAACTTCAGAACTTTGGCCATTCCAGATTTTAAACTGTCAGTTTAGTAAAATGATGTGTAGTAGTTATAAAATTTTTAATATTCTTTAAGTGGTATGTTACATATAGAGGAGGTTTTGTGGGGGGAGTCACCCCTACATGAAATGAAAATGTAACTTGAAGCCAGAATGACGATATTTTCTGGATTTAAAACAATAATGCAGATATTTTGCTATCCATTGGCTGATTGATGGATGTATAGTTTTGGAGAAATCTATGCTTAAATGGAGGATGCCAACTAAAATTAGACTTGTTTATATGCAAGTAACCCCCTTTTTCTTGTGCAGTTTCTGAATTATTATTCTGGCTCTTTCCCATTAGTTAACTAAGCTGATTTCATTTCAAAGTCCCACAATTACTATGCTGGGCAGAAGCCTTTTAATTTCATTTTCTGTAACTTTTGACAGAATTTGAATTTTACTTTTAATATTTTATTTATTCATTTAAATTTTGAATTTAATACTGTCTCTTTATCCATCTACTACATTTTAGCAAACCTAATTTTTAACTTGAACAATATATTTCTGAGAATTCTTCCTTTATGCCCAAATGCTTACCTACACCAAATTTTTGATGACCTTATCATAGTTTCTTTGAGTACTGTCTAGTTTTACCATTTCCACATTTGAAAGATTTTCACAAGAAATAGCAACTATGTACATTCTTTTCCATGCTTCCCATTTTAATAATTACTGCACCATTTTTCAAAAAATTGCCAAGTATTTTGCACATTTGTTTCCTTTTGTAATTTTAGTAAGTTCTGTTTGGTATTATATTTAAAAGGGGAAATATTCCCAATGTTTTTCTGTCTTAGAATTTTTTAATGTATCTATAATATGATTAAAAAAAACTTTTGGTTTGGGGAATAAAATTCAAGATTTTAGTATTTTTGGCTTAAGATTAGAATACGTTGTGTAAAAAATAGTAGTTTATGCAAGTTCAAAAAATGTTTATGTGTATGTAAATTTGACCGTTCCATTATTGTTATGCATATCAACATGATTTATTCTAGATCCCCCCCCCATATTTTTACTTTAATTCATTGTATGTTTTAAAATGTTTTGAAATTTTAATTTTGTTAGTTAATTTATATTTTTCTGAGTACTCAACATGCATCAGGGTAATCACTTGTCTCTTTGAGTAAGGATGCAATTATTATAGTATTGATATTTTATGCATTTTTTTTTTTTTTTTTTTTTTTTTTTTTTTAAATTTTGCTCAAAGAGTGGAATAAATACAAGTTCAGAATTCCTTAATTATTAGAGTTTCGATGTTTCAAATCATTACCCTTTATAAGTCAATATAAGGCACTAAACTTTGAATAATTAAATTGCATCTAGTTTTTAAAAAAATTTTATTTTTCTAAAAAGAATTTATAAAATAATTCTTAACTTTTGGTTTTGATCTTACTTTATTCTTAAATTTAGCAGTTTCTCAATTTAAGTCATTTTTATCTTTTATTTAATTATCTTTTTTTTTTCTAATTTTGAAGTTTTATTTTATGAGCTGCCCAGATGGTATAGTAGTTGGAGGAGCCTACTGCAATACCAAAGGGCCTGGGACCGAATCCCAGAGAAGGTATGAAAGTAAATTATCCATCCCTTCATAGGTGGTAACGGTGCCTCAATAATTAAATGACCACCATTTCCAGCTTTTGCAGTGGAGAAAGTTTAGTTAGAAATTTTAAGTAGCATTAGCTTTTATTTAAAAAAAAAAAAAAAAAAAAACAATTGGGGGAGTATCCATTAATTTTTCTTCTTCTTTTAATTTATATATATGTAAAATAAATGTACTGGGAAATTAATTTTTATCAGAATTTTTCATTTGGCCATAGTTCAGCAACTGCTGCCAATAATGCCTTAAACGTGAACTACAGCTTCTTTGTCTGATGATGGAAGATTGAAAATAGTAAGCATAACAAGTATTTACAATGAAAAAATGCTATAGTGACATGATGCAATTATGAAAAACCAGTTTGCTTGTTCATTAACCAGTTGTTTCTAAGGCTGCTGCAAAAGACGAGTACCCAATTTAGTGTGCCATTAATGTTTAGCTGTAGAATGCTCGTGGTAAGTCTTTGTTTCATGGTAGGTCTTTGTCTATACATTTCAAGTAAAATGTCTTGGTAGCCACTATGTAAAAGATTATTTTATTGTATGAAATTTCATGCCTTCACTTTCCTATGGTCATGAAGCAGTATTAGGTAATGCTTATTAAAATAGTCACTATGTGCATTAGTTTTAAGAATTGATGATTATGTAGAATGCTCAGTAAAGTCTGCCTTTTTTTTTTTTTTTTTAAAGTTATTTATAAAGAATATGTGTGTAAGTATTTATATCTAAATCATGGTTTTTCTACAGCTCAAGCCTCCCTATGGCCAAATAGTTAAGTTTGCTAAATATTGGTAGTTTGCCCCAGGTGACAGACAGTATGTGTGAATATTTTCATGATTTTCCCTATGTATAACGTAGATAACAAGCTAGTTTTCCATCAAAAGTCCTCCATGACGATACCCCTTCCCTGAGGCAAAATAAAATAAACCTCGTAGGCTTTGCTACGTCAAATAACATATTGAAATAATATTTCTGTAATTCAGATATTTCTTTATGCTTAACAGTAATAAAAGGCTAGGTCACTTCCCAAGGTTGTTGAAGCATAAATAATATGACTTCAGTAAGATATTCCTAAAGCTTATCTCAATCAATCTATAGATTATCTGGCATTTTTAATATTGTTATTTTGTGATTATCTTGTTGAGGAGATTAATATTCTGTATTTAAAAAAAATTTCTTTTTACCTTTGAATATGTTTTTGCTATTTTTAATGACAGTATTCTATTATATTTTATTTAATATAGAATTAAGTTTTTAAACTAGTCTAAAAAATAATTATCACATTTTAACCCTTTCGCCTCTCCTGTCCACGAAAATTTCTACCCAGCGGCCCTTTGTTTTTCGCAGCGTGTATTGTTTTCTCTGTACATACATAACTTTCATAGTGGATAAATGTAAATGAATATTAAGTAAAATTATAAGGAAATAATAATTATTAAGGAATTATAATGGAAAAGTAATAATATCTCTACATATTTCTAACAGCAGGATTAATTTGATAACATCTGATCCAGGCGGTCCACTCCTCCCATTTTGTTGTTGTAATCTTTTACAATTATTGGTTTTTTTACAGTTCTTTTCCGTGTTTCAACATCAAACATAGTTATTATGGACTGTACTCATCAAATGTATATCCTTCTTGTCTTCCCATTTCACAACCTCATTTTTTTTCTGCTGAGTAGAGGTTGAAGATCTTTCACTGTTTTGTATCTGTCTTTAAGATCTAAACTGGACAACACATGAAGATTGAATTAATGCTAGACTTCACACTGTGTTGTTATTGTTAATAAGTACAACATAATGTGTTGTTAATAACATGTATATTGCAATGTTGCATTATACTATAATATTATTTAAAATTACAGTATCTGTGAATACATTACCTTTGATTTTCTGATATATTTTTTCTTTGCAGTAAATGAAAGTACTAATTCTCGAGTTGTACTTTGGGCTTTCTTTGAAGCAGCAGTCCTTGTTGCAATGACAGTAGGCCAAGTTTACTACTTGAGAAGGTTTTTTGAAGTGAGAAGAGTAGTGTAAAACTGTGTATTTATTTGATATGTGAATTTTATGTAGTGTTTGGCACAATAAATCTGTTTTGTTTGGTATTCTTTTAATGAATATAATGTGTTATTTTTTCTATTGCAATTTTATTTTTGTTAAATTACAAATCTAAATTTTAAATAAATGAAATATTAGTTTATAAGACTTTGTCCCTCTTCTGAAGACTTAGAAGGTTAAAGCATAACTTATTCATTAGCAGCATCTTCATAGATAACCCTGTAAAAATTATATGTTGACTGTTTTCTTAAATGGACCATGTGATCGAAATCATTTTAATCTAAAAAATTTGATTCTTTTCTTAAAACTGGAATTATGGGATGTATAAATGACACCTCATGTTATATTTAGTTGCAAAATTTTTTTGAAACGTATATTATAACTTTAATTTAACATTAATTATTTTAATTATATTACATTATGGCAATGTGAAACATCCAAGTTACAATGTATTTTTGAATGAACAGGCTATCTCTTTAGATACTTTCATTCTTCTCTGCATATGTTTTATTAAAATAGGCCACTTTTAATTAAATGTCCTTCACAAAGGTATCCCTCTTCTTAAATTAGAAAGTTCTTGCATGCTTTATTATACTCTAAATCGGTAGCTGTTGTTATTAAATTCAGGATTCGTACACATTTCTGCATATGAAAATTAAGTACTTTTAAGGAACAATAGTGGAACAAATTAAGAACTATCAGCAAATGAAAATTGAATAAATTAAAGCAATTATCTATGCAATCAATTTCACGTTTGTTGTAACATTGTAAGAATGAAACTGACCTGTACGTAGGAATTCAAGACTATTAAACATAATTTAATGTTTAACATAATTACAAAACAAATCCAAAAATAAAATCAGCTTCCTAAAATGTGTCAAGTAATTAGTATTTAATATTTTGCTTTTAAAATAGTTCCACATATTTTAAAGAATATGAGTGACATTTTATTTAAGTATTACTAACAATTAGCTTTATGTTGTTCTTCCTCTTATTCCTCATTTGCTGAGTCTAGAGGTTTATGGAGATTTTATGGCAAGCAGCAACGGTTAAAATATGAAGTAAAATCAAGATTGACATGATTTGTTTGGCTATTCCCACTGTGACCGTGTGCCTAAAGAGAGAGAGAGTTGCGTATCCAAATAAATTTGAACAACCGACGTTGTCACGATTGGTGCTTTGTCTGTCTGTTGCAATTAATGTTGTAGAGTTGTAACTCGTAACATTGCTATAACGTGGCAGTCTGCCGTGGGTGGCGTTTTTCATGTGAAACATATTATAGAGTTTACAGTCATATGGCAGAAAGACTAATTGAAAGTTCATTGCATTTATTGTCTAAGGGATGTAATGTCTTCATGGGGGAATAAAGTTTTATGTTATTTTTTGCATATTTGTGTTGTACCTTGCATCCACGATAAGAATAAAAGAAATGCAGTAACTCAACACATAAAGATAACTTCTAATTAGATTTAATTGGATTAGTTAGTTAGATGTACTCTTAGCCCTTATAAGGTGTATATGGTCACTTTTAAAATTTCTAAAAAACGTATTTGTTCAAAAATCACTATTAAAACACAAACTAAGAATATTTTACAGTTAAAAATAACAGATAAGTGCATATAAAATTTATTCCATTGATTCTAAAATATTAGATAATTATACATTAAAAGCTACAAAACGTACATAACACAACAAAATATTAAATGCATCTATTTAATTTGAAAATTGTCCTGGTATTTTAATTTATATCAATTTTCTTGTTTTTAGCCTCTTTTCTATATTTATTTGCTATAATAAAACCAATCAAAGATTCCACTAGTCTCTGTTTCATTTGCTAATATTTTCCATAATATAGTTTTCTATCTCTTTACGTAATAAATTTCTTCCTGTACAAGTTCCTTCTTTATTTTAGAACTTCAGATTCAATTAAAAATTTCTGTTATGCTAAAAACCTGCATGTATTTAAAATATATAGAAGAAACTGCTAATTTTATTTCTTAAATAATATCACTATTGAGAATAACTGCATAAAACTTTATGAAATGATATATGGGCTGCATCAAGTGGCAAAATTTTAGAAATTGCGACTGCACTTTGCAACAAAATATTTAGAATTTGGTACCCACAGAGAGTGCACAGTGTGGTAAAGCGCCTGGCACTGACAATGTATATAATGCACCGAGACATAAAATGGATTTTTCCAACTGTCAGAGTTTTCAGTTTCTTAGTTAATAGAAAAATTCCTTTCTGTGAACTTTCAAAAGGATCAAATTTGTATTTTTTCACTGTTTTGCAGATTAGGTATCAGTGAGAGAGTTGCATACCATATCATTAATCACAAAAAACAAAATAAACAAACAAAAAAAAAAAATATTATGACTAGTTGAAATTTATCTGCGGTAATGTAAAGCATTATTACATAGAAGTTTAGATAAATTACAATACATACTCGTATTTATAAACACGGCTGAATCACTGGCTTCAGGTCCATGGAAATAACTTGTTTGATGTCCTGAAGAGCCATCTATTACCCTCTTTGTAATAAATTTTTTTTTTCAAATTTTTCTTGGCTAAATGAAGTTTGCACATTAAAAAAATGTTTCATTTCTGTGATAACATTTATTGTCATCATGCATACAAAAGTGGGCAACCCAGAAGCTAAACTAAAAAAAGTTTTTTTTGGGGGGGGACGTTTTTGTGAAGAGTATTTTAAAACTGCAAAATTTAACCACTGTACTTAAACATTTTATTACTGTATACAAAATGTTAAATATATATGGAAGCACACGTACTTTATCTTTCCATAAAAAATAGTCAAATTAGTTAAAGGTGGGGGTAATATTAATCAAATAAAATATCATCATACAAAAGCTTCGACTAGGAATTGTTGCGCAGCATACAAGTGAAGGTAACAGATGCATGAATGGCCATTTCTACTATTTAAAGTGTGAGGGGAGGGAATATATTACGAGATTCAAAAATTCATATATCACGCTGTGTCTTTAAAAGTTATTTTTGTGCCCATTGGTCACAGATATGTACGTCCAATTACAAAGCCATAAATATTCATGTTTTGACATTTTTAAATTTAAAAAAATTAATTTTATTATGATTACAAATCTTACTTTGTATATGGCACCTTTCCCTATAGTTACATTTAAGAAACATTTATACCGAGTCTAAAAAATAAATTACAAAGTGTTTTCTTCCCATATCACAAAAATTGATAGATGTATGTAAATTTTTTTACATAAATCTGAGATCATATTCAGGTGTTGTGCATAAACTGATAAGTGAAATTTTTCCATCTGTATGTAACTAAAAATACAGTATCAGTTAAAGAAAAAAAAAGGCTTCTGATGTTAAGAGATGAGCACTGCTGTGCAGATTGCTCCAAAAAGTGTTCATTGAATTACCCCCCAAAAAGGAAATCTTATTCACAGTCTTATAAAATTCCTTTTCTAGAAACAGTAGCAGGCCTCATTATTGGTGTTTAGCAAATTTGTAACATTGTCCGCATAAGTTAAAAGTTAAAAATATTTTAAGTTTAATGAATTTTATGTGATTATTAGATTAGAATTCTAAAAAAATAAAATTGAATGAGGATATTAATAATACATTTTTAACATATGAAAACCTCTAATCACTCGTGAAATTTCTTTCAGCATACCACATGTAACAAAATTGTAAATTAAAGAACATTACACACTAAGGAATCACAAAAGAATATCATTGAATAAATGACATTTAAAGAAGAAGATTTAAACTTGAATTATTTTATTTTTAACTAACCTCTCAAGGAAAGCCAAAACTGACAAAAGTTAAAATCATGAAATTAAGATTTTGGTCAGTTTTTGTCTTATGGGGGTGTTGTTTTAAGTTTTATAATGAATATAAAATTTTCCTAAATATTAAGGGATTGTGTAACAGTTAAGATTTTGTAGTTTTCATAAAAATTTTTTAAACAGAGTTACACAACCACCATTTGATGTTGTCATAAAATGTTTTAGGATTTTTGTGTACAATGCCTCATTATTTAGAATATAGACTGCCTGCAGCTTATTGCGTTTAAATTTCCAGGAACAAAAATGAATATATAGGAATGAATAGAAAACTGCTGTTCATAAAATTCATCTCCAAGCTGGTGAAAGTCTGATTATAGAGATTCAGAATAAACTGTTTTTGGCTGATAAAAGCTGTTTGTAGTTCATTCATTTACCTTTCAGTTATGTAGTTCTTCAATTAAATGGGTTGGCATGAGTAGTTAGAACTAAGATTCCTTGAGGTGTTAGGTACACTATCATAGTTCTTGAGACCCTATTTGCAAATCTCTTTGTCCAGACTAGAGGTGAGAGCAAGAGAATACCTCCAGAGGCACTGGAAATAAGTTTTGAATATAAATGAATGAGTGTTTCTTGGGATTAAAGAATAGGTGGTGCTTAAATGAACACTGGTTCCCTTTCTCAAACACCAGGTTATAGGGGATGTATGCACACACACACATTAAGTTTATGGCTGTTCTCGGAAAACATCATGAAATGCTTCCTTGCATCCCCTCTGATTCGAAAAGGGGAGTGGTCGTTGTAGGCTGAAGAGAAAAGAAAGCATTGATTATGTCTATAATAACCTATGAAGTTAAGGTCGACTTAACAAAGTGCAATCTGCCTGCTGGCAAGAAATGGGAATTTTGAAACTTTGAGGATATCACTGGAAGAAATGTTTTTTTTAACTATGTATGTGACTTGCAACATGCCAAAAATGCCTAAATTAAATGATTTAAGCCTGAAAAAAAAGGGGGATAAGTTGTTGAAAGATTACAGTACGTTTGATAAATGCAGCCAGAGAAGAAGCTTTTAAAGTGGGAATTTCCTAAACATCAATGTGCAGTTTACTTGAACAAAGAAATAAAACTGACAAAGAACTAGCAAAAAATGTGCATGTCCCAAGGGGACGTAAAATCGAGAGACTTTGAAACTGGTCTTCTAAAATGGTTTCAAGCTATGAAACTAAAAAAACTTCCAATTTCTAAAGCTCTTTTGACCACAATAGCTGCAAA